TTTACTTCATCGAAGTCGATCCTTTCAAATTTTTCTATTTCCACACTTAAAAATGCTAGATGACTCAGGGGATCTTGGCCCATCGTTGATTGTAAATATGTGAAAATTTATTTTAATTTGCTGAACGAACGTTCATAGCTAGCATTTGATAATGAAATAGTAAGTAGTATTTGAAGTGCGACTTTTAGGTTTGGAAAAACATTTTCTCTACAGATCTGTAGTGGAGTTTTAGGTTTCGTTTCTTTTCTACTGCGGAATAACGTCATGCAGTCACATTCACTGCTCAAAACAATTATATATAAGGGCGAGTCAAATGAAAGTGAGCCAATGCGAATATATGACAAACAGAGTACTTTATTTAAAGGTAGTCTCCATGAACATTGAGACATTTATCCCATTGACAAATGAGCCGCGTGATCCCCGTCTCATAAAACTCCTTGGGCTGTCGATTCAAAAAGTCTGTAACCGACTCCTTTACGGCGTCGTCCGACACGAATCTGTTACCCCTGAGATGTTTTTTCAGTTTCCCGAAAATGTGAAAGTCGCATGGCGACAAATCTGGGCTGTATGGAGGATGTTGCAGCGTGTTCCACTTGAACTTTGCCAGTTGTGTCTTAACCACATCAGCGACGTGGGGACGAGCATTGTCGTGTAGCAAGATCACACCATTCGTCAATCTTCCAGGTCGTTTGTTCTTGATTGCGACACGCAGCCGATCCAGCGTTGCACAATAGCGCGAACTATTGATAATCTCTCCACGTTTAGAAAATTCAATCAGTAATGGCCCCTGACGATCGAAAAAAAAAGTCAATAGCACCTTTCCCGAGGAAATGACAGCCTTTGCTTTCTTCGGGGGTGGTGAATTCAAATGTTTCCACTGTAAGCTTTGCCGGCGTGTTTCAGGTTCGTAGTGGTGGCACCATGATTCGTCTCCGGTCACAATTGCAGACAAGAAGTCGTCACCCTCATTGTGATACCGGATGAGATGAGTCAAAACAGCGCCGAACCTCTCCGTCTTCTGGCGGTCGTTCAAAATCTTGGGCATCCATTGAGCACACAAAAGCCGATAACCGAGATGATCATGACTTATGGTGTGAACCGAACCGTGACTGATGTTCACACGCTCTGCCAGTTCATCGATGCTTATCCTCCGTTCTTGTCTAATCAGCTCATCAACCTGTGCAGTTGTGTCGGGGGTGATTGCAAGGTGGCTTTGGCCGGTCTTGGATCGTCTTTGCAACTTTCACGTCCTTCTCTGAACCGTTTGCTCCAACGCTTCACAGTGGCCAATGCGATGCAATGTTCACCGTACACAGCAGTCATACGGCGACTAATTTCATGTTGGGAAAGGAAACACCTTCAGCTGTCAAAAACCTGACCACACCACGCTGTTCCTCTATTGGAGCGTCCATTATGTCACGCTACCGTCTTCAACCCAGTGTAAGAGCGCCTTAAAGAACTTTAACCTCACACTTTCGCGCCACATTCCTTAAATGAAGGCTGTTTCTGTGCTACCCGCATGCGCCGCAGATGATGGACCGAACCATTCTTGCTGAGGAGGGGTTGGCTCACTTTCATTTGACTCGCCCTTATATATTGTGGGTTCGGTAGGAAATAACCATATAATCGATAACCTTTTTGAACAAAAGAAAATAGAAGAGATTATAAAGGGAAATTATAACGTTTACAAATTGGGAATATGCAAATTTAGTCTGTGACGTCGAAAACTATGCGTTTAAGATAGGGAGTGAAAAGCGACCTGCAGCATTTCTTTTGTAGTAGGAGATTAAAAACAATTGACTGTTTGTAGCAGTCAGTCCGATATCTCAGCAAGATGACTTAGTTGAATCGGTAGACTGGAAGGCCATCAGCCGTTTACAGAAGAGTCAAACGCAATCCATTGTAGCGGAAGCGTTAGGATTTTCCCAAAATGTCATTTCCAGATTATGGAATCGGAATTTGGAAACTGGATATGTTTGAGAAATTCGGGACAAGGTCGTGTTATCGTTTTAAAATAAAAAGTGGGAGATATACGTGCATTTCGTTTAAAAAAATAAAAAATATCTCTCTACTTTGGAGAAATAAAATGGTCAGAAAGAACGTTTTGGTTGATGTACTGCAAAAATTTTATTACACATTTTATCAGACAAATCAAGAAAATAAATAATTAATTATATTACAATCGTTAGTAATTTTAAATATATTTTCCAGAAATCGGTTTGCTAGATTCCAAGGTAAAAGCAAGAGTTACCAAAAGTCTCAATGAAAAGCAAGTAAGAAACATAGTCATAATAAAAGGATTCTTAATGTAAGCAAATGGAGTAGATTTCCTTAACTCATTATGGTAAATGTCTGTAGATAGTACGTAGAGGAATGATAAAAGAAAAAAGGTTACAAAACATTTCTAGTAAATATCTGGATAGAAATATCCAGAAAAAGTATCTAAAACAGATTTATGTTTTTTCTGCTAAAATCTTCCAAATATACTAAACTCTTGCTCAAGGATATAAGTGAAAGATATTTAAAGAGAGCTATTATGTAGCAGAGTAAAATAAATGAAACACATATTTATTAGATAAATATAGACCAGAAAGTGTAGCAAAGGTTATGTAAAGAAATGGAGAGTTACAACAATCAGCAAAAAGGATTCTTACAGGTATATAATTCACGATGCTAATGTTAATAAGACTGGAATATGTCAAAATACATTTTAGTATTCCGTGAAATTTCAGTAAACTGCTTGGAAAAGTGAAGACAGAGAGAATAATAACTGATGTGTGAAAACACATGTTTGTATGCTAGATTTTAGTATTCAAATCCACGAAAAAATAGGAAGTGTCATAAGGTATTTCTCCCGCCTTCATGGCATGTTTCGTGGTGTGGTGGTCTGCACGCTGATTCCAGAGATCCGTCGATTCCCGGCGAAGGACATTTCTCATTTTTCATCTCTCTTTCTTTCAAAAATTACCTAATGTCTCTACAGTGGCGCCCGAACTAAAAGGGTGTTGTATGATGATTCTCCTCACACAGGATTCGGCGAATGGGTCCCGTAAAAACCCCAGTCGCCCTTTAAAGAGGGAGAGTGTATAAGGTATTTACCAACTTTCTTGGCATACCTTCGTGGTGTGGTGGTCTGCACGCTGGGCGCATATTTCAGAGGTCCGCGGTTCGATTCCCGGCGAAGGCGGTTGCTCATTTTTCATATCTCTTGCTTTCAAAAATTACCTAATGTCTCTACGATGTAAGCATAACAATAGGCTTCGCCTTTTCTGCCGAAGGAAAATATAAAGTTCGAAATCTCATTAAAATGTTCCTGAAATACCCACAACACAATAACTCTCATTGTTTATCTAATAACTGTAATGATAAATTTCTGATGTTAGGATTATAACATATATTGCGATGAATTGAAAAATAATGACAACATCCAATGAGTGTTTTTGTGTAAACATTGACGTATCCCTCAATGTAGTGCGTGCAACTGTTTTTCATGCGAAATTCAACATATCTAAAAGGTTTGTTTGTTTGTGGGAAGCAGCCCTCATCTTACCACAAGTGTCCCTGTGACTTAATTAGGCTGTTGCAGTTAAAAATATAAAAACAGGGTATACACTAAAGTAGAATTTCTATTGTTGATCGATGAGTATTGATATAATTCTTAATCTTTCTTGGTAAACTTTCTGCCTTTGTCAAAATCTGGTAAAATCCATTCCACGTTAAAAGTACCATTTATGATAAAATCTTTTCATATATCTTTTAAAAGTGGGCAAATCTCCACGAAGTGTTTAGCATCTCCAGTTTCCTTACAGCTGCCACAGAGGTCGGAATTTTGAAGATTAAATCTTCTAAAGTACGCAGGAAAATGGTCATGACTCGTTAAAATTTGATTTAAATCTATGTTCTTTTTTTGTTGTCACTAGTCTCATATAGTTTTTACTTTTGTATGACATTTCCTATTTTTCGTTCTGTAATTAGTGGGTATAATTCTTCATAACGGTCACCGCCTTCCTCTTCGACTGCTGCAGCTTAATCATTTCAGTGTCATTTTATGTAATAGCGTCTATGTCCAGTGCGTCCGCCCTCTCATTTCCAATAAAACCAGCATGTGATTTTATCCAATTCAAATTAATTATATGTCTCTCCAGGAGTTCAAAATAAAGTTCTTTTATACCTAATATCAGTTCATTTGTCTGGTCCGGGCAGGAAAGTGTCTATAAAGTTGACAAACTGTTGGTAATATATATATATATATATATAAACATATTGATAATATTCTCGACTTTTAGGAATATTTTATCCACTTCAAAATAAAAAGCAATGGCCTCCGCCTGAGATACAGCATGTGTTTAGCATCAAAAGCCAGGCTTTCTGGATAGTACTCAGTTTCATTCTAAGACGTATAAGCTCCTCCGCGCAGCAACCCCATGCACCTATGCCATACATAATTGTCGGAATGAAGATAGTTTCATATATAACTCTCACAGCATCATTTCTAATTTACAAAACTTCTCTACAGGATGTATGCTAAAAAGTTACACGCTTCAGCTTATTTAGTCCAGTTTCATCTTAGATCAAATGAAAAGAGTTTGGTATGCCCCGCTTTCCTAAAATGCGCTTTTACTAACAGCCTAAAGTAGTACTTTTTCCGGTCAACGGAAGATTTTCACTTTTACAGGAAAAGTTTCAAGGAAATTGAAGAATGTTTCAACATTTGTTTCATGCGAACTTCTCGTTCCTGCAATGACTACAAGAAACCTCAGTTCGGGGAAATTTCATATAAAATTCAAAATAAAATGTTACATAAAATCTGATAGCTAGGACTTCTTCCTTAAAACTCAATATTTTGCATGTTTTCGCTGAATTAAAAACCAACTGATGCTAGGAATGAAGGTCCATTTTTCAATTCCTTAGACGTTAAATCTAAAAACAGAAAAACAGTAAAGAGAGGAAAGGACATTCCATAATTTTTGTTACAAAAAATTCCATTATGCTTTTCTCACCTTGGTATCCTCTGTCAACACGTGATTATATTGTTTAATAATTAATCCATCCCCTACAAAAATAACAATATGTGGAAAACTCTAGACTTTTTTTAGTGCCGCAAATCATGGAAAGTGAGGGCCCAGAGATAGTTTTTTGCATAGGGCCTCGTGAACTCTACTTAACCCTTTCCGGCACGCTACCTTTTAAAGTCGGAGTTTTGATTAAAAAAAAAAGTAGGTAGTCTAATTAGGCCTAGAGGAGTACACAAGTAAAATTTTGTGAAGACAGCACTTATCGTTTTAATTCTGTGGGTGTGCCCAAAGTGGCACACTGATTGAATAGAACTTCGAAAAGAGTGCTGAAACAAGCATTGTTGTCAATGAACTGACCGATGAAATGCGAAGAAACAAAGAATACAGACTCTCAGTTGTTCTAGATTATCGGTGAACCCGGTCTGGGCACACCTAGGGCTCGCCGTTTGATTTTACGCAAGATTTCAAGGTAAAAATTTAAAACTAACATAGAATAAGGAGATTAGCATATAGCCAAAAAAAAACATAGAAATTTCTTTTCAAACAATTCCTTTTATACCCCCCAAAAAATCTGGAAGATTTCTTTGAAAAATGAGTGTCTTAAAAAACTAAACATGCCTAAAATATATGAACTGGTTTGTGTTGAGCTGCCATCTACTATAAATAAAGAAGGTTCAGAGTAACCTATAGTAACTTATAAATCATTTTTCATTCAATTTTTCTGTGAGTGCAGAAGGAAATTTTTAGGTGTGTCCAGACCGGACACACTGTGCCGCAAAGGGTTAAATCATTGTCTCTGCGACATACAACCTTTCGTATACAACCTCGAATGCCGTAGGGAACTTTTCATCAGCAAAAAAACCATCCTGTGCAGGTCAATTTTTAACTTGCTCTCCTTTATGCCTCCACTATCTGGAGCCATGCGGCGAAAACACACATGCATAAAATATAAGACTTTCAGAAGAAGATAAATCACAAACGCTCTCTGGTACATTAAGATCTTACATAAAAGTTTGAAAATTGAGTGCATAAATGACTGCATCCGAAACAATGATATTAAATTTTATCTTTTAGTCAATCATCATCAAAACTTACTCATTTCTATTTAAAAAACATTTTCCCATAGATATGCATACCCGGCTAACACCACGCTTTTGCCATAATTATCAGTGTCACATGTTGTTCCAGTAATTATCCGGTTTCCTTTTCGTGGACCTCTTAACAATCTTTCGATAATAAATTTAATAGCACAGTTTTTTAAAAATATACCTACATTTATCAAGAAAACGTAAATAAATTTAAAATTAGGTCAAAAAAGCTACCATAACTAAAACTAAATTTTGAGATTTATTTTCGCAACAGCTTGGCAAAGAAGGTAGTTGATAGTTGACGGTGGACGTGTGCACCATCCCTTTACCGTAATGGTTAATTGGCATATGCAACACGTCCACCTCTATCTTGAGCCAGATGGACCACACAGGCGCCTCGCACCATACACCGAAACCCAGCGACCAAGCCATCCAGGTGGCAGTCCAAAAGACCAAAGAAGCCCCCAGAAGCATGTTCACACCAACCGCCCGGGCCTAGTATTTATTGAGTCAAAGTTCAACAAATACATGGCCAGACAAGGGCTCAAAAAATAAGATAAATAGATAAATAAAGGGTACATTTGAAGTTTTGACAAAGCATAAGATTACAAAGGTGCAAGTGCCAGTTTTGAATAAATACTAGAATCACATAGACATAATTAGAACAAAACACATACAGATAGCGATAACAATAGAAAACCAAAGGAGTAAACACCATTACAAAACTACTACTGCTACATACTACAATACTACAAAACTACTACTAGAATACTTACAAACAGTACTACAAACTGATACAATGCTAAATATTACAAAACTGCTACTGCTGCTACATACTAGGCTGATAATAATGCTGATAGTATGATATCGATGATGTAATGATCTTAATACTGATGGTAAGTTCAATACAATAGTTAGTGTACAAAGCAAGGATACAATACATAAATACATTATGCAACTATATAAATACCAATGCAAGGTAAAGAGGATACATTATACAACTATATATACACGCATACACACATATATACAGATATATACTAATACAAGGTAAAACGATACTAATGATTCTGTACGAGATGCAAGACAAGATAGATAATTCAATATAAGATTAATAAGCCATATTGTTCAATACAATAGTTAATGCAAAGTTAATAAAACACTATTTATATTACTATACCAACTGTATATTTCCTATATTAGTGCAATTTTATACGACGCATATCTATACGATGCTCACAATTTAATATATATTACACAGTACTGTATTGCAGGGAACTTATAATTCAATTTTATACAAGATGATACATATCTATACTATGCTCACAATTTAATGTATATATTATATAATACAGTATACAGTACAATATGATTTACAACTAATACGTAAGATAATGGATGCTATATCATTCAATTACAAAAGTTAATGCAAAATTAATGATACATTATTTATATTACGATACCAACTACACATTTCCTGTATTGCAGGGGACTTATAGTGCAATTTTATTATGTATACGATGCTCACAACATTGCAATTTCATATAAGATGATACACATCCATACGATAGCTCACAATTTAATATATATATTATACAATACGGTTATACGATATAATATAATGTACTGCAAATACGTAAGATATGTGATACAATAGGTAAATTAACATGCTTACAGGGTTAGTATACAAGACACAACAATAGGTACAATACAATACTAAGAGTAAATAAATAGAGTATGTGACAGTATATAGACAAATGCAATGTAGAAAAATACATATTGTCAAGTAATTGGTAATAATTCTATGCAATATGCAATACAAGACATATGATACAGTATAAAATCGATAAGCTACGTCTATGATACTATTTATAATTTAATGGAATATTTAAAGCAAAAGAGACCAAAATACTACTTTAACTTTCATACAGTATTTTAACACAATTGCTAGTTCAGTAAAATAATTAATACAATATTTAATTCAATACGTATCTCAGGGTATAAAAAGAAGTGCAATATATATATTCTTAATAGTATGATGCCTATAAGGCAATGTTCTTAATAACTAAAGCGAATTAAATGCAATACTTTATATACAATACACAAGAGCAACACTTGAGTACAATACTGAGGATAAAAAGACATATTTTGCAACAGTATAATATATACAAATGCAATGTATAAAAATACCTATGATCAATTCAATATTATTAATTCTGTGCAATATGCGATACAATGCAACAATATAGTTATACCAATATAATGTAAAAAATACTTATGATCAATTCAATATTAATAATTCTGTGCAATATGCAAAACACGACATATAATTCAATATAATCAATAAACTAAATCTAAAATCTAAAGTCTAAAATTCTGCATGTAATTCAATAAAATAGTTAATGCCAAGTTGAATCAAGACTACTTATAACGTTATGCTAATAATCCAGTTTCTGTATTGCAAAGAATTTAATTTACAGTTCCATACTAAAGCATACATAGCGATACGATGTTCATAATTTCAATATGTTGCATCACATATTCTTAGGGTAGAGCTTATAACTCAACATAATATTACATAACTACCAACTTAATACAATAATTAATGCAAGAATTAAAATAATAAGTAAATTAAGTTAATAGACTAGTTAGAATATAATGCAGTACTTAGAGTGCAAATATTGTATATTGTAATTATAATGAAATATGATACAATGCTAATAGTTTGATACAATAGTTATTACAATGCTCGATACAATATTTTTGATATATAACCAGATTAGAATACTTAATATGTAGCTTGTAATTCAGTAAGATAGTAATACCATATCTATAGTTTGAGGTTGCGAGTATAATACTTATTGTGCAATATCTTATAGTGCATTTAAAATACAATACAATTTTTAATAATATTTGTAACAATACTGGGACTATTAAAAAGAAAGAATATAGTTATAATATGTAAATAGACAAGAATGCAACTGGAGTGTACAAAAATACAATTGTATTATGAAAACACTATGTAAACAGACAAGAATGCAACTGGAGTGTACAAGAATACAGTTGTATTATGAAAACAGGAAAAAACCATTAACATTAGACAACCTGACATAGATCAGATCCATAACTGTGGAGAATGTCCATAATTTTTGAGAGTTTTCTGATAAGGTACTTCTGCTTAATTAAAAATTTACTAAATGCTAGTTGATTATCCACAGGGAAAGGAATGTGAAATTCCTCCGTTAACGGGCATGTAGTAATATAATGTTCAGGTATGCCTAGAGTTCCGCAGACACAATATTCACTATTTGCAATTCCATGCTTGTAAAAGTAGCTTGGAAATGGACCATGCCCCGAGATATATCTTACTAGTTGATGATTTGTTATCTGACGACATTGATCCACATACGTAATATGATTGTACGTTCGTCGACCGGTTTCATCAGTATCCCATTCTAGTTGCCATTGGGATATAACTTTTAAAAGAAGAGCTCGTTTTAAGTGAGATGTTGGCCACTTAAGAATCACTTCTTCAGCCTCGGCATCGGTATTTTCGGCAGCTGATTTGGCTAACTTATCTGCCAAAGTATTACCGTGATCCCCAGCATGGCCCTTAGTCCAAGCTAGCGTGATGTTATTTCCCACTTGATTACGAAGTTCACATTGGATGTCCGAGATAAGCGAAGAAGAATGTCTGGGGTTTTGAATCGCTTGAAGCGACGAAAGACTATCAGTGATAATTATTGCCTCCATAGCACCACTTGTTTTACAGTGTTGAACTGCTTTGAGGATGGCTAGGGCCTCCGCTTGAAATACACTATTATTTCCATGGAGATGACCCAGCCACTGATAAATTGACTGACCATTATGAAAGGCTACAAGGGCACAGCCTGTCTGTTGATCTATTTTAGATCCATCAGTGTAATATTGAATGCTTGGGATAGGTGGCAGTGTTACGTCCTTAAGGAAAATCCGAAGTCCTGTTCCTTGAAGGACTGGATGCACATCCAAATGTTGTGAGGGTTGTTCATAGTGCAATGGTGTGAAAAGTTCATCAAATAGGATGAAAGGTTTTTTTCAAAACCTTGACGGATTGTATTGCTGCTTCCTGCAGAATACGTAGATGAAGAGGGATCAGTCCCGCCATGACATTTAATGCACTGGATGAGGTAGTACGAAACGCCCTAGTTATCTGTAAGGCAAATTGACGCTGGAGACTTTGCAAGTGGCGCACTTTGCGACCCTGCATGGGTTCAGCCCATATAGCAGCCGCATAGGTGACCATTCTCTCGATAACGGTGAGATAAAGAACCTTTTGTATATAGGGACTAATTCCCCATCCACGACCCTGCATTTGACGCAATTTACATGCAATTATAACAGTTCGTCTCTTTAGTTCCAAAACATGCGGCATCCAGTTCAGTTTCTCGTCAAAGATAACGCCGAGAAATTTGAGCTGCGGTTTGATAGGTATACGTGTACCATGAATGGTGATTCGAGGCCGTCGAACCAAAGATCCTCCTTTTTTAGGGATTAATAAAATTTGCGATTTTGGTTCGGAAATTGTTAATTTAATTCTAGAACATAAGTTATAAAAGAGATCACAGGTTTCAATAGCATTTCTTTGCAACTCTTCTCGAGTTCGTCCTTGAATGATAAAAACTGTATCATCTGCATACGCATATGCCCGGGTATGTGCTGGCCAGTTTGCGGCAATAACAGAATTAAATGTTATATTCCATAAATCAGGGCCAGCACAAGAACCCTGCGGACAGCCTCTGTTTTGTTGTCTTGTAATATGCCATGGTGTGTTTATGTGACGTATTGTCGCTCCGCCTTTTGCCTAATATCAGCGGAAGTTCTCAACGTACCGCTGTAAAAGTAGTTGCTACGTGTAGCTAACATCATCAGGAGTACATATAAAAATTGTGTCATTACGACATTTAGTCGTTTTTTTATGGAACTTCAAAGTTTTTAACACTATCATTCACGACTTGGAGCCATTTTCGCCTTGTTCCTCAACTTCGCAGTCCGTGGATACACCGACGGACGTCGTAGCAGCCGGATTTTTACACAGCCGGATAGAGGATCATCTCAGCAGTATTTTGATATAAGTTTTATCAAGATTGGATAATTGGTTGAATAATTATGCAGAAATTACTCATTTAATTTAGCGCTTTTTTCGCTCACGCTGCATTTTCGACCGTTAGGTGCCACCATCCCCCCCTCGGGGTAGCGCGTTTTCGTCAAGGACATTCGCAACGGCTTTCCTTTTATGAAGTGGACACTTTATTAGCTGCCTGCTAATTAATTTCCTAATTGCTGTATCATGCTGGAATAAACGGCAATCTTCATCATCTATCTTCAGAAGCAGAAGTTTCAAATTTTGGTCGTGATCGGCCCACTGGTTCCAAAGATATAATTTTTTCGACATTTATTAACTTAGAATTTTCAAGCTGCAAAATTGCGTAGTTTGACTTCCTATTACAGTGCAGTGTTGTGTTGTTGTGTTTCAGTGTCTATGTGCCTTTGGATTACTATGGAATACCTTTATACAGATGAAGGACAGATGAAATACTGCTGCCAAGGTAAGAAAATTTGACTTTTTCCTGTATTCCAGATAGAAATATAAAAATTCAGCACCAAACGCAGTACTGTACAGAAAAACTTAGATCCTTTCCCATACGATGAGTGACATAGATTCCTCCACTTACTCGAGAGAATTTGCTTTGCAAACATTCATTACCTCGGACATAAGCTATACTGAGAAGATTGATAAACTCACTGACGAAATTAAAAAGATCGCAACTTCCTTTCGAGGTGGCAAAAATATTCTACCCCTAGGCTTGCGAAAGCAACTGATAGACACGGTTGAAGCCTTCCGAATTCTGGCTTTGGGAGTATCTGAGTATATCCCACCTCCGGATACCGTCGATAAAGCAGTCAACACATCCAGTATTTTCGCGTGTGAACTAGCAAGTCAACAGCAACACATCACAGCTGCACCTAATCTAGCGCAAAAGGCAACAGACAATCGAAAGTCCTACGCAAGTGTAACGGCGCAAAAGCCTAAACACACCTTGCTGATCTACCCTAAAGACCCGTCCACAACATCCAGGAAAGTGTTAAAAGAAAAATTGACTGCTGAATTTCCGTTACCCACATTGGGAGTTCAAGTAGCAGCATTAAGATACATCCCGCAGGAAGGACTTGCAGTGGATTGCCATACAAAGGAGGACATTCACGCACTCTCGGAAAAACTGCAGACTGAAAAGGCTAAAGAATTCTTGCAAACCAAGATCCCAAGCACAAGGCTTCCCAGGGTTGCTATACACAATATCCCATTAAGCGTTACACAGGAGGAACTTGGACGAGTCATCAGTTTAGAACTCCATATTAACAAGAATAATGCCAAAATCCTGTACAGGCTCAAAGAAAGGAGTAACACAGTCAAGTGGATTGTCGAATGTAATCCCGATGCCTTCCAACAACTCATGCGCTCCAGAAAACTACTCATCGGCTGGCGGGCACATCGAATCTCAGAGTACTTCAACACTAAGAGGTGCTACCGCTGTCAAGCATTTGGCCATACCCAGCAGGGATGCCAAAATAAAATCTATTGTGCATACTGCTCGGGGAATCATGCAATCAAAGACTGTCAAGCCAGACGAGCCACATGCATCAACTGTGCAGACAGTAACTACCGCAACCGAGACAATAAAGCTTGCGACCATCCAGCATATGATGTTGCCTGTCCAACATACACGAGATACGTCGAACGGATCAAACGCAGCACTATCTATGAATAGTCTATCTGCTACTAATGCTAACAACAACACGCCTGTAATCCAATCTAATAATAACAATAATCATATGCAGATTCTCTCTCCCACATACTATACCTCCATCAAGCAGGAACATAGGTACACTAAGCACAAGTATCATCAAATGCCTGCAAATCAATCTTCAAAGGGCTGAGGCAGCAACATCTCATGTCCTCACGCAAGTTATTTCCAACGACATAGACCTCGTAATCATGCAGGAACCATACTGTAGAGAAGGTCACGTCGCTAGCTTACCTATTGCATGGAAAATATACCAAAAGGAGTCCCCGACGGCAGATCTTGCTCCTAGAGTAGCAATTGCCTGCTGCAACCCCGCATGGACACCACAAGTCATCAAGCTGCATAGGGATTATGTCGCCATTCTAATCATTTTTGAAAATATGCAATTTATCCTTACTTCGGTGTATTCACCACCAACAGATGCAATTGGCAGCACTGTCGCCCACATAAGCGAAACAAGTAGAAAATTTCCAAACACAGCTCAAGTCATAGGAGGCGACTTTAATGCCCATCATATTATATGGGGGTATAGTACCACAAATCCAAAAGGGCAGGAGCTTGAAGATTATATTGCGGCAAACAATTTACAATTGCACAATACAACGAATGCACCACCTACATTCGATAATTCGTACAATCAAGGATGGCCAGACTTAACGATCTCAACTTATGATATTGCTAACAACATACATTCATGGCATGTCTCAGACTCTGAAAGTTGTTCAGATCATAAATACGTAGAATTTACTATACAAACAGATACCACCATTTCTATAATTAAACGCTATAGGCTGCCAGGTAACAAGGTTAGACAATTGACACAGGCCTTTACTCGTCTCCTGCAAGCAAAAGAATTGCAGCTAGAATCTTGCAACAACTCAGAACACCTTGATTCCCTTGCACAAGGACTTCTAGAGGAACTTAATGAAATATGTCAACAAATTTTACCCCTCCGTACAACCAAGAAATTACAAGGAATCTCTTGGTGGACCGGCGAACTAAGGCAACAAAGACAAAAATGCAGAGCTTTGCGCCGCAGACTAAGAGGCAACGTGGACGGAGAGACCAAAGCACAGATTCTGACTACATACCGGCAAGAGCGGGCTAAATATAAGAAGAATATTCTCGCTGCAAAAGTGACAAGCTGGCGTACCTTCTGTAACAACAATACGAATCCCTACGGGATCTTACATAAGATTGCAACACAGAAGGTATTCAAACCAGCACAAATTCATGCACAGGTTCCAACAGCTAGTCTTTCAACAAACCCAGCGGGGTTTACAGCTGCCACCCTTCTTGACGAAATTTTTGCAAAGGACAATCCGCATGAAGATACACTGGAACAACGTGCAGTGCGAAACAATACAACTATCCCAGATACGCCAGATGATTATGCTTTCTCAGCGAAAGAAATCGCTCATGTATTTCGCTACCTACCCCTGAAAAAAGCCCCAGGACCGGATGGCCTGGACTATTCAATAATTAAAGTTGCATATAAAGCCAATCCAGATTTCTTCACTAAATAAATTTTTCAATAAATTACTTCAGGCAAAGCTCTTCCCAACCGTATTTAAGAAGGGACAGGTAGTCTTGTTCTTGAAAAAATTCAAAAATCCAGCTGAACCGCGGTCTTACAGGCCAATCTGCTTGTTGTCTGCACTGGGCAAAGTGTATGAAAAGCTGATTGTCAATCGACTTCGTCATCATCTGCACAAGACCAAATATCTAAGTGTCGGACAATTCGGTTTCCGCATAGGATCTTCCACCGTTCAAGCCCTTTCAACAATCAAGGATTGCATCCAGAAGAATAGAAATGATAATATGCATACGGCTTTCATTTCGATTGACCTGGCCAGCGCATTTGATACTCTGTGGTGGCCAGCAATCAAACAAGCTTTACGCAATGCAAAATGCCCGACCAACCTTTATCTAACAATCACAAGCTACTTACAAGATCGTATGTTAATAATGTCCCACGATGCAGGTGTTTCATCCAAAGCCCAAGTGAGAGGTTGCCCGCAAGGCTCTTGCGCGGGGCCCCTCCTATGGAACATCACATTTAACGAAGTGCTCGCTGCAGACTGGCCCGCACACACGCGAGTTGTCGCCTACGCAGATGATGCTGCACTCCTGGTGCGAGGACGCACACGCAACGAACTGGAGAAAAACGGCACAGAAGTCTGCACACTTTTTGCTGACTACTGCACTCGACTTAAGCTTCAAGCTTCAAACATCAACAAAGTCAACAGCGTTGATCATTCCAAGGCCAGGAACAAACACGACGGCCCTGTATTAAATTAAACGGGAGAAATATTAAGTTCGTTAAAAATCTTAAATATCTAGGAGTAACATGGGACTCCGGTCTAACCTTTATTCCTCATATACAAGACCTTCGTGTTAAAAACATCTCGAATAGCGAGAACAGCGCGCCAATTTCAGGGCAAGAATTGGGGTCAGAGCCCCCATTTTCAGAAACTGTTATATCTCACAGTTGCAGAGAAAATCGCAT